ATTACCCCCCTCCCCCCCCCCACACACACACACTTCTCCACACACAGTTTCCCTTTTGTAATAGGGATTGATACTTATCTGGCTTCACAAGCATACTGTGAGGATTGATTAATGTTTGCAGAGTACTTTGTAGATAAAGTTCTTCAGACACTAGATACTTATTATTACTTATTTATTACTTACTTCCTTATTGTAGTTCTGGGCCTTTCTAGCACAAAGTAGTATTACTTGTACAGAACAGGCATTAGAAGAGCCCACCAAATATCATCACTTGATAAACTAATTCAGGATTTGAACCCCCAGGCCTCCATCTGTGAGAGAGCAGAGTAGTAATGCCTATTCTTACTGCATTGACAGCTGTATGAACATCAAAGTTTTTGGTTTGCTGGCAATTAAAAAAAAATATTTCAGGTCAAACCAGAGGTGAAAGTAAGCTGGTACATCCCGGTACGCTGTTCCAGCAAAATGGAGCCAGCTGGCTGCAGTGCTCAGCTTCCTGAGGAAGCAGGGCATGTTTCCATCCAGCTCTGGGGGATCTTCCACAGGCAAGTTAAAGGCAAGCTTGCTGGGAGGGCTATTGCCCCAGCCCCCATCAGTATCATTTAAGGAGGGCAGGAGGGGCTGAAACTACCTCCTCCTAAGATTCCTATCGGCAGGAGGGGCTGAAACTACCTCCTCCCAAGATTCCTATCAGGATGCTGCTGTCTGTTCCCCTTCCTGTCATAATGAACGATGGAACTTCAATGATGGAACTTCACTGGACCCCCCATGCCCATTGCTCTGAATCCTACACCCCCAGTCTGCTGTCCTAAGCCCCTGCTTCCACTCCAACTCTGACTACTACACCCCCAGCTACCTCCAAACTTCTTAGCTGAGCCCTCCACATCCCCAACCCTGACTTCTGCAATTCCTCACCCACCCCAGCCTTCTACCCTGAGAACCTGCTTAGCCCCCAATCCTGACTCCTGCGCCCTTGCCCCTCTGCACTGAGATCCTCCTCATTCCCCAACCCTGAGTCCTGCACCCTTCCATCCCAGGCCCTGAGCCCTCCACACCCCAAAACTCCCCAATTCCTTGCCTTGAGCACCCCATTTTCCACCGGTCACTTACATTTTTTACAGGTACTCTGAGTCATATTTCAACCTTCCTCTCAACCTCCTGCCCCAAGATACGCCCCCACCCCCCAGGGGAGGAGGTTGCAGTACAACAGTACCTGTAAGACATGTAAGTTAATTTTACCCTGGGTCAACCTCAGTCCTAAACTTTTTGGAATTTTTGGAGAATTGGACATTTAAAAACATTCATCTCACGTCAAGCAAAATATCTTATACTGAAATGCGGGATTTTAAACCTTTTTGTTCTTAAAATAAAAAGTAAACAATTTGAAAACCAAAGGACTAGAATTCCAACAGGACTTAAGGCACATCTTCAATGAGATAAAACCCCTAGCACCAAATCTCAGAATCTGGGACAGCTATCTTGGGTACACAGAGCTAAACACAGCCGTGTATGTAGATGTCTGGTCTTTTATCGCAATTGTAGCTGTCCCCTTAGGCGCCGTTCACTAACTGGAGGAGGTGATGAAGGGAGACTCAGGTCCAGATCCCAGATCAGGGGCAGAAATATAAACCCAAATCTTCACTCCCCACCACCAAGTGAGTGCCCTAGTCATCAGGCCACTGGCTCTTTTGGAAGAGTAGACGTCTGTCTCAGAGTGTCTTCTGTTGAAGCTGTCCCATTAGGCTGTTGGGAATAAGAATAAATAAATAAATAAAATAAATCTTCTACTGTATTTCACCTAAGTACTCTTGGTACAATCCTGAAAAATTAAAATGAATGTTTTGAAAACATCAACAAAATGAACCATTTTCTGGTCTTTTTAAAAATTTCCAACTGAAACAATTTGCTGAAGTCAACAAATGTACACAGTAGTTTGATTGACCAGAATCTAAAAATTTTCACCCAGTTCAACATCATTATGAAGAATCTATCTACGTATTTATAGAACCCTCATCACTGCAGTATATGATTACCCCCCTCCCCCCCCCCACACACACACACTTCTCCACACACAGTTTCCCTTTTGTAATAGGGATTGATACTTATCTGGCTTCACAAGCATACTGTGAGGATTGATTAATGTTTGCAGAGTACTTTGTAGATAAAGTTCTTCAGACACTAGATACTTATTATTACTTATTTATTACTTACTTCCTTATTGTAGTTCTGGGCCTTTCTAGCACAAAGTAGTATTACTTGTACAGAACAGGCATTAGAAGAGCCCACCAAATATCATCACTTGATAAACTAATTCAGGATTTGAACCCCCAGGCCTCCATCTGTGTGAGAGCAGAGTAGTAATGCCTATTCTTACTGCATTGACAGCTGTATGAACATCAAAGTTTTTGGTTTGCTGGCAATTAAAAAAAAATATTTCAGGTCAAACCAGAGGTGAAAGTATGCTGGTACATCCCGGTACACTGTTCCAGCAAAACGGAGCCAGCTGGCTGCAGTGCTCGGCTTCCTGAGGAAGCAGGGCATGTTTCCAGCCAGCTCTGGGGGATCTTCCACAGGCAAGTTAAAGGCAAGCTTGCTGGGGGGGCTATTGCCCCAGCCCCCAACAGTATCATTTAAGGAGGGCAGGAGGGGCTGAAACTACCTCCTCCTAAGATTCCTATCAGGATGCTGATGCCTGTTCCCCTTCCTGTCATAGTGAATGATGGAACTTCACTGGACCCCCCATGACATGTAAGTTAATTTTACCCTGGGTCAACCTCAGTCCTAAACTTTTTGGAATTTTTGGAGAATTGGACATTTAAAAACATTCATCTCACGTCAAGCAAAATATCTTATACTGAAATGCGGGATTTTAAACCTTTTTGTTCTTAAAATAAAAAGTAAACAATTTGAAAACCAAAGGACTAGAATTCCAACAGGACTTAAGGCACATCTTCAATGAGATAAAACCCCTAGCACCAAATCTCAGAATCTGGGACAGCTATCTTGGGTACACAGAGCTAAACACAGCCGTGTATGTAGATGTCTGGTCTTTTATCGCAATTGTAGCTGTCCCCTTAGGCGCCGTTCACTAACTGGAGGAGGTGATGAAGGGAGACTCAGGTCCAGATCCCAGATCAGGGGCAGAAATATAAACCCAAATCTTCACTCCCCACCACCAAGTGAGTGCCCTAGTCATCAGGCCACTGGCTCTTTTGGAAGAGTAGACGTCTGTCTCAGAGTGTCTTCTGTTGAAGCTGTCCCATTAGGCTGTTGGGAATAAGAATAAATAAATAAATAAAATAAATCTTCTACTGTATTTCACCTAAGTACTCTTGGTACAATCCTGAAAAATTAAAATGAATGTTTTGAAAACATCAACAAAATGAACCATTTTCTGGTCTTTTTAAAAATTTCCAACTGAAACAATTTGCTGAAGTCAACAAATGTACACAGTAGTTTGATTGACCAGAATCTAAAAATTTTCACCCAGTTCAACATCATTATGAAGAATCTATCTACGTATTTATAGAACCCTCATCACTGCAGTATATGAACACCTCACAATCATGAATGGATTCATCCTCAATATCACTTTGAAGTAAGGAAGAAATTCTTACCAATCCAAAAACTGAATCCAGATTTCCTGAGATCCCTCTCAAACAAATATCTTAACTGCGAGATTACATTTCTGCCCTTCATAAAAATTGACAAATGTAGAATAAATTGTGTGTGTCAATCTTCTGGAGAGACAATTGTCTAAAAAACCATATTACTAAGTTTGAGAGAGAAGTATAGGTCCATTAAAGGCTTACTTTGGGCAGAAATATTACTCAAGTTATCTTCAAATTCCAAAAAGTGTTTTTAAAATAAGTTTGTCATAGCATCGCTGCAGCTGGGGACATGTTGCAGATATTTTTTAAATTAATTTTAAATATCACTCTCTCCCTCTGTGGTTCCATGAGTGGTGCACACTGCAATTTATTTTTAAAGAGGGAACATAGGATCTTGAGTTGCCATCAAAGAAATCCAAAATAAACGTTTGCATCTAGTCCCTGTTAAAAGGAAAGGACACTGAATTCATTTAAATGTATTTATAAAAGATTGATTTTCCCAATAGGATTTACACATGTACTTTCTTTAATTATTCTTGAAGTTTTGCTTATCAACTGACAATTTTCTACAGAAGGGAAGCAAAAACAGCTCAACTCTCCTTGACAGCAAAGAGCTTTAATGAAACTAGAATGAAAACTGCATGTCACTTTCCTTATCTTTACTAATATCTCAGGCTATGTCTACACTGAAAAATTTTAGTGATGAAATTAATGTCGACATGCAAAAGTTGCCAAAAATCCAACTCTCCTCCCCCTCCCCCAGTCTCCAAAGTGTGTTTACGCTGGTTCTGTCAACAGATCATGGCCACATTTCTAGCTCCCCTATTAACAGACTAAACAATACACTATGGATTTTTGGTGACAAAACTTGCCACATGCCCAACATTACAGTGAGAAAACAACAATCCATTTTTAAGTAAGTATCATTGGCAGGAATATTTAAATTAAGCAGAAATGCAAAATTCAACAAATGCATCCATTTTTATAGCATTTGTCTTGATTTTATTTTTGTCATCTACTCCACTGATTTATTGTAAATATCCAATGTATTAGCGGAAAATATCAGAATTGCAAATAAAGTATAAAGCAGTATAACTCTGTTACATTTGACCATTTTTATTAAACTGAAATATAAACTGACATTTAACTATTGCTCCAAAACAAGCAACTCTTTAGCATCAGCAGGCATCCTAAGAGTAAATAGATAAAAATTACTTCTCCAAATGTACAGCACATCATACACAAAATCCTATTAGCTGAGTTATGAAGTGGCTTTTGAAAGCTGGAAAATGTTTTTAATTGCAATTTCTTCTACTGTGTGTATAAAGTTCAATCTAAAAGCCGCTTCATACCGTTTCATTTCAAC